CAAAATTTATATACAACGTAAGAAAATACATTCATATGGAGAATAATACAAATTCAAGGAAGCGAATATATTAGGTGCTTGCAAAAATTTTAGCCCGCGATTTTTTCGAATAAAAATGATGAAGAAATGGAAAATATCGGTGTGCATAACAATTAGATTCGATAAGTTTGACTTTCCTCCATCTAAAATAACCGGTTTCGATTTAATATTATTGATTTATTCAGCGTAGGCCCATGCCCCATCAAGGAATACTCAAAATTGTATTTTCGACTTCCATCACTTTTTTAATGTGAAGCAATCTGCTGTGAAAGCCCACGTGGTGAAGTTACTTCGTCAAAGTCCAATTGTCAATTTTGTGAAAAAAAAAAACGGCTTGATGGGCGAAAACAGCTCGAAAAAAAAAAGAATTGCAAGACTTCTTGGACGAAAGCCCAGCTGAAACTCTCAAACAGCTTAGAAATTGATGGACAATTGATTAACTCTTTCTAGACGTTTACTTGCGATGGCAACGATCTAAAATGAGGAACAATGGTCACCTCGCAAATTGACTGAAAATCCCATTTCGAATCGTCTCAAAACCACAGTTACCTTGCAATGAAACCGTGAAAAAGAAAAGCTTTCTATAGCGTATTGTGACTGGCGAGGAAAAATGAATCTACTACGACAATCCCAAACACCCAAATCCCAAAAAAAAATCGTAGATTTGTCCAGAAGAGTCATTCACATCGACACTGAAGCTGGCTACAATATTGTAGCTGTGGATACGGTGGTAGTATGTTACGAGCTCCTAAAACCTCTTAAAATTGTTGTCAGAAAGGTGGGAAAAATTTGTAGAAAATAATGGAAAATATTTTCATTAATATACACTGTACTCATACACATGCTTCTCAACGAATGCCTTTTTCAAATGAAAAATTGCCAAGATTTTTGAAAGCATCTAATAGAATTCTTGGGAATATTGTGAACGGAGTATAATTGACGATATGATATATCATTTGTTTTTCAAATTCACTCAGGCAGTACGCATTATCTTAGGTTAAATTTGATACAATTCGAATATCTCGCACAGGGAGTGCGCCATTTTAGCGTTGTGAACGATAACTAGTTTTAAGAGAACACAATTTGTTTTCGTGATTTTTTATTCCAGAGCCCCACTCATCACTTTCGATTTACTACGTCTCTGTCGTATTGCTTGAAATACGACTGACAGTGTAAGTAAGTTCCGTGACTAATGCTGTTTATAGACTATCGCACTTATAGTACAAGAGTATATTAAGTTTGTGCGGATGTATATAACATCTAGAAGAGCTTAACTTAAGAGAGACGCACTTTTCATTATTCGGGAAGTGATTCCGAGTCGATCTAAGCTTGACTGTTTGTCCATATGTCCGTTGTGTAGGCTTGTGTTCAACCTACAACCCCTCAATTTTTAAGATATTTTAATGAGATTTGTTACACCGACTAGGCCTTTAGCCTAACAACGAACGCTATTGCAAACAATTTCGCTCGGATTAATGTTTCAACCACTTCCCATGAAACGCCATATTTTGAAAAGTCATTGAATGAATAAGCGACGCGATGTAGGGTATTTTATTGTGAACCGTAGCGCACTACAGTGGTTATATTCGTTTTTATAGCAAATGTGAAAACTCGTCTGATGCAAGTTAAGTTAAATCGATATTTGCGACAGCCTCTAGCTGCTATTAGGTCCTTTTTAATTTTTTCATCAATTATACGCATGTTTGCAAGCGAACCATAACCATAACCGTTTGCCGAATACTTAGTGAACCATTAAAATAAGAGCACATTCGCTAAGTTACACTTTTCGATATCGCTCTTCGCGACAATGAAAACGGCATCCACCGACAAACGGGTGGACAGAAATATCGAAATTCACTCAGAATTTTAGGTCGTTTATAAAAAATTTTATTTTGAAAATAAGAGTAATCAACTTCACCCAGTCCATATTACAGAGCCTGAAAATTTTCTTCTTTTACTTTTTTTTTTAATTTCTTAGCATAACGATGATGGATAGAAAAGATTCAGTCACATCTGCACATAATTTTCTCACTTATTCATCTATGGGATTTTTACTTTTCATTTACCGCAAATTTTTGTTAATTTATTAAGGTTTCTCTTAGCTTTTTTTTTTTTTTTTTTCTTTTAAGGTTATATATATAATAAGAAATAAATAACTAAATAGCACGCCACTGGTTATTCGACAGCTTCTTTACATTTTTTGTCTGATGAACTTTATACCAAATACTTTATAAGAATTAAGCGCCATTTCGTTGCAATATTGAGTTTGAATTTCTCAAGAAAAACGTTGAGAATAATTTTCACATTAGCTGTGCGAGGTCTTTACAGTGCGTTACAACAATTTAGACCTGTCATCTAAATTAAAACTTATTTTTAGAAAAATTTTATATGTAATGGAAAGTAAAATCGCAATATATAAGTGAATTTAATTGTGTAGTTAGGGAGTTGCGTGAAAAGAGAAGAATATAACAAGCGGAATTTTTTGAAAGCAGTCTGGAATTTCGAGTATGTAAAAGCCCCTAAATTGACAATGGCTATAAAAATAGCCAACAAGTAAACAAAATTTTGAATACCACTTTCAACATCACATCATTTATTAATATGTTTTAAGGAATCATTTTGTTTAAATTTGCCACAAGTTTTACGCAGGCGTGCTAGAATAGACGATCTAAACATCCAAGTACCTCATAACAGATATACGTTCAACAGTTTGAAAAACGTGTATAAAAGATCCCCAATTTTTATTTACATTTGTAATTTTATTCAATATTTAATGGATCTTCCGTAACGTGGTAGACTATAGGTCATGGAAATTTCGCTAAATTTGAATAAAATTTCTCAAGTTTCTTCTGTCGAAATTGTCACAGCTTCTTAGTTATAATAGGCCCGCAAAAACCAATCGTTAAAACTGCTCAATTCATCCAAACGGGCCGACTCACGGATACGACTTAACCTACTATCAAATTTTTTTTGTTTGTGTACCATATTTTATTATGCTAGAAACAAGAACAATTTGAAATCTAAATTGTATAGATGTCTCTCCAAAGGTCAACTTGTACGCATGTACGCATCTACGCAGTGAATCTATTAAGTGCTTATCAAAGTTATATACGAGACAATATACGAGATTTTTCAAAAGCAGCCGATTAGTTAACATACGACGAACGGTCAGAAATATGAACATGACTTAATCGACTAGCAATATTATTTTTACGATTAATATATATGTAATCAAAAAAGTGTCTGTTATGAGATCTTTAAAGCGTATAACAAACGTTTTTCATACCGAACTTGGTGGCACGTTGCGTCATCTTCTACAAGCTATACGTCAGCTGGGGACAACGAACGGTTCTTACAATGTGTCCGAAATTTTATGCTATTGAGATTGTCATTGGCCCTTACTAATCACTTTGTTTCAATGAAAGAGATCCCGCTCCGTCGATGTGATATCGCACAACAAGATGATTTACCTTCTTAATGAAACCAGTGGGCTAACCTAACTCTTTCTTGATCTATGAATACGACGAGCACTTATCATCACGTTGTTATATTCAGGCAGTTTCAGATCCTGTTTCAACGAAAAGCAGCACCAATACTTAAACTGCTTACAGGCGCGAGACTATTTTTACACAAGTTACATTTTTGATGAAATTTTGAATTGAGCGGAAATATCTAGGCTAAGGGAAAAGCAGAATAAGTGTAGCAAACAGTTATATCGAGATATATGATCTTTCGAGAAAGAGAGAAGAAAAGAGGGCTCATGTGTTATGGTACAGTCTCGCTGAAAACAAGTGTCTATATCCATATGTTATCCATATGTTAAGTAGAAGCCAAAGCAAATCAGTTAACATTCTAGCTGTCAAACCAGTAGTTTTTTCGAAAAGATACGACCTAATCACCGTACCAAACTCCCGCCCCATGCGATTGAAAACGTTGTTCGACATTTGCAGCCCGTAATGAGCGAATGTATAAGGGAAGTATTTGAATGTATTCTACCCATTATTTGTGATAGAATCGCGTGGCGAGATGAAATGTGACGATAACTCAAATAATATCAATGACGCCTCTTGTTGAAGTAGCTTTCACACATTATAAGCGAGATGAAAATCGAAAGGAGTCGAACATATCGAGCACGTTGGTTATTCATTCGATTTTCTCTTTTCATATTCCCCCTTATATCATATGATCAAAATATAGCAAACAGTATATAGTATATAGTATATAGTATTTATTTATCATTAATCATGTATAGGCGGAACGCACTGTACTTAGACTATGCTTAGGCATAAAATTAACTTGAAATAATGGCTATAGAATATTGCTATGGCTTTGCACATCTTTCCTTGTGCTTGTTGCGTTTATCATTGCTTCTAATTGAATGTTGTTATCAATTTTATTAAAAATAAATAATGCTTGACGTCAACAAGCAATAATAAATAATATTCATAAGAGCGACAGTGTGAAAGATCAGAAGCTAGCTGCTGTGCGGACGGAAAAAGCGATGGTAAGGGAAGAGCAATTTATTGAAATAAAATGAAAAGAAGACAAGGCAACAACAAAAAATTCTATTGTTTAATTTAGCGAAGCTAAAAAACTTTAAAAATCTCCTCAATTAAACTTTGGGTTAAGTGATAAGAAATATTTGCCAAACAAAGGAATGCGGATTATGATTACAGTGACCAGCAAAAATGTACAAATAAATAAATAAAAGCGAAAGAGGCCAATGGATTTTACTCTGACGCGTAGTCACACAAATAAATTAAAAACAAAAGAATATATATATATCTATATATATATATATATAGATGTATCTACGTATGTATATATGCATGTATATAATTGTTACTTTACCAATAACATCTGTTTGCCAATGTTTGAGTTGCATTTTATAAATGCCTGCTAGCTAATGACGGCATAAACACTGAATCTTTCAGTTGGTGCCAGTTGAGTGTGGACACGTATTGAGTAAAGACGTGTTGCGTGGGCTTATGAAATAATTCAGATAAAGTGTTTTTTTTTTTCCTTTCGTTTCGCTTGTAATATTATTTATTTACTTATTTATTATTATTATTATTACTGTTTTTTCTTTTTTTTTTTTTTTTTTTTTTTTACTTTCTATTGTGATTTTCATTTTCGACTAAGTTAAGATGCGTTCTTCAACTATTCGTTTATCGACTCAAGGTCTATTTGTTGTGCGAAATAGTTGTAAAAAATCATCTAATGCCACACAGTTAGTACGTTGCATTACTACTAAAAGCGTTCAAGTGAATAATACAAACAAAGTCGAACCGAATTTAAAAAATAATAATAAAAATAAAACTAACGACAAATATTTGCGTTATACCAGTGAGGAGGGCTACTATAAGACATCACCTTACGAACCGGTAGCAAGCTTAAACACCACTTTGGATAAATATGTTTGGCGCAATTTAAAAAAATGGCAAAATAACGTGGCTGCGGTAAGTGGGTTAAATGGAAAAGTAAAAAAGCCACAGCAAGAAAAAAGAAAAAAAAAAAAAACAAGACATACAAGTAAGAAAACTATGTTCACCTTAATGTAAGCCTTGGTTATCCACCACCTGAATGAAATATTCATTCGACAGAATTCATATACTCAGTCTAGTCACTCAAGTTATAGTCTTATGCACCGAATGTTCGCAGGAAATTAATCTATCTATCAATGTTATTTGTCTTAATATTATATTATATTGCCTGATTATCGAGATAAATAAAAAAAAAAATAAAAAATTAAAAAAAAGATTTGTTCATCTACGTCCGAATCGGGAACAAATATCTATCTCATAGCTCAAGTGAAGTCAAGAAACATTTGCTGTAGGTGCTAGTTGTAATCTATCCGATCGCCGTCCTTTTACACGACTGTACATTCATAATAGACACTACGTTTAGTTTGTAAGTTGCATTGTATTCTTAAGCTGCACTTATCTTTATTAGCATCATAGGTTGATTTTTAATTTTCTTATTAAATCAAAATATTTATCCTAAATTAGAACGTGTCAGATCAATGTTTGTGGCTATGCAAGTTTCAATAATGGACGAGGACAGATGGACTGACAGAAGTGGTTGAAACGGCTCAGTATCTCGCATAATGACAGCTTTCTGAATATTATAAGCGAAATGAAAAAATCAAAAATAATTTCATGTGTCAGAGCAAAATTTTTATATAAAAATTCCCTATGAAATTCTCATATGACTGCAGCAAATATCAGCTCAATATTGCAATATTTCTCACAAATTACTGATACAAGGTAACTTTTGACTTTGTTTCAGTTCTAGATTCCTAACTTTGGACATTTTGAGCCGTACCAATTTTAAGAGATTACTTGCGAGTACTCTTCTTCGATGGCAGTCCTGGTAGCGTTTTGAAAGAAAGGAAAGCATCTATGAATTTGACCGTCTCAGTTTGAAAATGATCACTTTCTCTATGCACTTTGGAATACTCTGAGGTATATTTTTGTGAGTCTTGCAAACAATGTACCTCCATTCGTCGAGGGTAGGTCTACGAAGAAAGATATTCTAGTCGGCTTAGTAGGCATTTTTTAGTACACATTTTGCATATAGGATGGATACTCCCTTCTTTCGATATGCATCGTAGGCGTTTCAAATCATATTTCCATGCAATTCAATGAACAAACAATTCATAACCAATTGTATAAATGAAAGGTAATACTTGCAGGTGAACCCTTCGTCCAACTTAATTCATTTTTAAACTCAATGTTTAGTTTTTTTTTTTTTTTTAGATAAATTTCGCTAGCTAATCGAAAGCGCTAAATTAATGATCCTAGAGATCCTAAGACTGTAATTTAGGACGAAAATGAAAATTTATCAGGTTCCTGGTAATTGTGAACGGGCTTAGGAGCGAATTTGAATCATTTTCGGACTTAACGAAAATAATAAGAAATTTTGTCTTTCTTTTGAATAAAGTTCTTGTAGATGCAATTGGTATAAATGAAAAGCCAGGCAGAAAAGAAAGAATGTCTAAATTGATTCTACTCCAAACTTTGCTTCTTTCTAGCGTTACAAACTTTGAGCAAATCTAGCAAATCCCTTAGTGATGAGTTTGATAAAACACTACCCGCAGCTCTATAGCATGTCATACAAGCAAAGTCATACTACGTGTCTACGTATATAAATTCGGTTATTAAGTGATAAATAATAGTTAGTACACACACTTACAGAGACAAGTTGATAACTGTTCTATATTCATAATCATATGCGATTTGCATGTACAAGCGACGTTCGCAGCCAGTTGTGTACAAATGCACAATGTACGCGAGACAGCCGACGTCTCACCGATAAGTATAACTGGCTGCTAATGCTTAAAAATAGATTGAAGAAAAGATTCATGCACACACCTTAACTCATATTAACTTAATGACAGAAAATTGGATTGATCATAGATGTCAGTCAGGGAACCCGTAATCCAATCTAGTGCCAATGCACAACACAGATTGGAAAACAATGAATTGGACGAAAGCAAAAAAAAAAAAAAAAGAACAATATTCTAAGAACATCGTAGTAGGACAAGGTCAATCATTGAATACCCTACACTAAGTCGTCTAATACATTTAATCGCTCGTTCTGGTGATAATACATCAGAAATTACACATTATTTTCATGCGAAGGCATACTTTTCATGACAGCCCGCATATTTAAGTATGGCCATGACGTGATCCAAATTCAGCGAATTTAATTTATTTCTCAAATATTTTGTTATTTTTCAGTTTCCGCCATAGAAACCTAGAAATTATACTTTTTCCCCTATAACGACTTTTCAAAATAAGACATCGTATAGGGAGGGAGCGAAAAAGTGGACCCATTCGAACCCTTTTTAACAAAGTTCGTGCTTCAATCCCAATTATTGCGAGCTTTTCTAGGTTGAACACAAATTTACTTGAACAGACGGAAAGAGGGGCACACATCAATTAGTATAAGAAAAGCTCTGTCTATCTTTAATCCCTTCTGGGAGTCACATACTGGGTACCGCACAAACTTAATACACCTTGTATACCATAAGTGGTTGCGTGTAGAGTATAAAAAACGAAAGCAAGTTAAAAGCGAAAACATAACACTATTGAAATGTGTGAGAATGGTTTTCGACATATCTCACAATCAAAATTACAAACCCATTAGAATGCCCTACGAATACGATTATATATTTTGCGAGTCGAAAAACAAGGCTTGAATTCTCGCACTCGATATCCACCTCACTCATGTGGCGAGACATGGATACGATACAATCTCGTTTCATCAGATAATGGCTTTCGAATCCTTTCAAATCGTCAGAAGTTCATGATTCAACAAATTGTTTGTGATACCATTGGCTTGTGAATGACAAAATAAACGCAAGAAAGAAGAAACTAAGAAAAGTTTCTAATAACCTAAATACATTATTTCATGTTTTTCTTCTTCCTGAAAAATATATATATGAATAAATTACCATTAAAGATTGCTGCATAAAATTCCTCTCAGGTATTTTGTATTCTAACGGCCACTGTCATATGAGAAAAAGTTTGTATTTCACGCAAATGATTTCACAAAACCGGCACAAAACTTGATGATTTATGATCTAGATATCGATTATAATATATCGATTATTTCTATTTATAATTGTTTTTTACATACGCTTCTTCTTCATGGCATTTATCTTATTACTTTCACTTCGATATTATCATGAAAAATTCGTTGAACATGCACCGAATAAAACAACAAGTTGATAATATCGTAATTTGAGTTTTGAACGCGACTGCATTCAATATCGAAAGCGGTAACTCGTCCTCTCTTCTCTTGCAAGCTAGATGAGTGAACTAGTTCACGCATGGCACCCGACCTAAACCATACAAATCTGAATATATAACTAACTATATGCAAGTAGACAGACTTAACAATTGTCAATGTCAAATTAATGAAGTCGGGTGTTGACGGTGTAGATAGAGACTTTTAAAAATGTAGGAATAATTTGCATCAATCATATTAACTTTACAATAGGGAAGACATATGGAATGACTAGATTCCTTTGCCACAGTCGGATATTGTTACATAAAAGTTTTTCTAATTCCAACGCTAGTTTTCAGCTTCAAACTGCACGTAAGTTGCAAGTACGCAATCAAACGAAAACTTACTCCGCTACGTGTATAGCATAAAAATAAATGAACATTTCGCCCAATTATGTCAAACGTTATTATCCTTATTTAAATCGTTCTCAAAATCATTGTATATAGAGGACACAGTGTCAGTCTAAAGTTTACACTATCAGGCAAAAGCCATCGCATCAGGCTAGTAAAATATTCCTTTGTAATGTACGAGCGTCAGACTTGTATTCATCTTGTTCGCGAGCGTAAGCTTAGCTTGCATGTTCTCACATATCAACCTCAACCTCAACCTTACATGCTTTACGACCAAGATTGTAAAGTATTTTACCCGATAATTGTGATGCATTTCTTTATTGATTGCATCGATTTTACCTCTTTTCATATTTTATTGCAGTATTTTATTAATTATATTTATTTGTGTAATGGAATCGCGATGAAATCTGATCATCATCTGTTCGCAGGACTTTATAATTTTGATTAGTTATCTCTTAATATAAATATTTAAGTCCATAAAAGTTACGATCTTCTTGGCTGCTGAGCTTAACTTGCAGGTATTTCTCACTTATTTAGCTATTCGCTTATCATACTGTGTGACCTTAAGTATCGAGCCCACAAGTATATTATCACAAACACATTAAGATATTCACCTTAAATACTTATCTAGCTGCTCGATTGCCTTATTTTTAGGGACACTTAAGTTTTCATTAATCACTTTCTCTTCTCCTTCCTTCCATACATCGATTCATACAGTAATCTTAATGAGGCGTAAGCTATTTTACAATTGATATATGATAACATCTGGGTCTGTGGATGTTAAACTCTAATCCCAAGAAGCTAAAGAAGTTATATTTTCCTACGATCGTAGGGTAGTCTAATATATATTATAAACGACTTTTATTCTTACCATTTCAAGTGGATGTTAAAATAAAATAAATAAAAACATTATAGTCGGGCAAAGCCGACTATTAATTGTCCTACATCACATTGTCTAAGCCAGTTCTTATTTTTATTATTGAACACAAAAATTATATCTTATTTCTATATATAGGAATATTTTTCATGTGCGCATTTACGGAGAAGCGAGCTCAACACGCAACCTAATGTAGTACAAGTTAAATTCTTACATGGCGCAGGATCTAAATAAATAGGCGTAGATGATCCAAATGCTGCATAGTTCATTTTGTATTATTATTAGTCAATTTTCTTTCTTTTCTGCTCTACTTTGTGAAGATCCTTATTAGGATAGGATCCAGAAAATAGGCCGAGATCCTCCAAATTTGGCATAGTCAATTTTTTTATGTGAAATTATTACTACTAACTGATCTTCATCAGCAGCAGTATTGCAAATTAGATCCTTCGGTCGTATGGACTTCAGTTTTCGTTATATAAGAGGGAGTTTAAAAAATTTCCCCAGCCGCTCCAAAGTTTTCATATTAATTTAGAATGCCAAAAACCTTATACTTAGCCACTTTTGCCAAAAATGCAATTTTTTTGCGAGAAAGTGGATCGATCCGGACAACCTTCACTAGTGTTTGTTCTTGGAACAGAAAACATCACTGTACCAAAATTCATTGGAATATCTTAAAACTCGATCAACTTGAACACAAATTTACATCAACAGTTATCAGACGGACAGAAGGACAGACAGTCTTAGATCAATTCGGGTTATGATTCTAAATCGATCGATATAATAAAAAAGGTGGGTCTACTTTAAGCCCTTCTGCGTGTTGCATACGACCGCATTAACTTAATATACCCTCTAGCCCAAGTGGTGTAGGGTATAAATAGCATCATAGTAATGAATGAATTTCTAAAAGAAAATAAAAAAAAAAAAAAAAAAAAAAAATTGAAAATAATTTATTTTTAAAATAATAAACAATTGAATAAACAATTTTTCGTTTTAAATAAATCTTATATATGTCCGATCATGCTGATCACACACATTTCTTAATTTATTGTAATTTATTGTGATGATGATCGCCAGCAAAAGCCAACAAAAAGACAGACAAACAAAGTGCTATAATCCTTACTGTCAAAAATGCAATACCAGCGGCACATGTGCGGAATAGAGAGACAATAAGAACGAAAAGAATGGAAAAAAAACGAATTAAGTGAAAACATTATAACTGAATGAGGCGCAGCATTAAATACCTTACATCAATTCGCTTAATAAACAATTCGTCATTTATTTCGATGATAAAATACCGATAATTATATCTTGGCTCCATGTAAGGACTAACTATTTTTCATGAAAATCCTTATTTAAGAGCAGATGGAATCAGGATGTGTGCTGCTAACGTGGCTCGAATTTACTGAAACGCATTCTTCTTTCATTTTCACTATGAAATTGCTAAAAATTCGACTTTATTGTAATGTCGTAAGAAAATGAACGAACTACGTAGTCCAAATTCAATGCAATTAATATTTCTATCGAAATTTGACCGAAATATATGTCGAAATGTCTTTAAATATTATTATGCCGGATGGGGTTGAATACGAAAAACACGGCATGGCACACCCATCGACATATATGCAAGCTTTAATCGATTGAAAAAATCTTTGTGAATGCTATACACATTCGCACAAATTTATTATATACTGTACCATGCACAAGTCGTGTACACGGTATAAAAATAATTGTTAGAGTGACGGGTGGACGGTGACAACGGTGACGGGACCGAAGAGCAGTCAGCGTAAAGTTTATTTTCGTATGCCTTTCATTGATAACGATTGAAATTGAGAGTGTTTTACTTATTTCCTATTAAATGTTTCATTTTTCATTCGCATAAATTCGCAATAAAAATATTCATTTTGTATTCAAGTTGCTCTTTTTCTCATTAACAGATCGATATTGTAAACGGTCGTCAGTACACATTTGCGGAATTGCGGGATTGTAGCGCCGCTTTAGCCATACGTTTACAAAGGAAATTTAAATTGTTAAAGGGCGATGTTTTGGCGATTTGTTTACCAAATGTACCCGAATATCCTGGCGCGATATTGGGTGCAATTGAAGCTGGCCTCACCATAACGACAGTCAATCCATTATACACATCTGGTAATTGATTTCATTTTATTTCGTTGAAAGCTTAAAATTTGAAATAAGATTTCAATTCATATGATTGGACTTTGATCAAGGTAACTAAACGATATCTAAGTCTAGATGAATACACACACAAGCACTTAGATGCATTTATCTACACATTTATATACACGCAAGTAGATATGATAAAGTGATTGCAAAACAAACCAAAAACAAAACAAAAACAAAAGTCAAAGATAGTTTATAAAATTAAACAAATTCAGAGCGAAACTTGATTATCTACTACATGCAAAAAAACATGAACGATCAAATGACGTTAAGTTAAGTAAATAAGGTGAAGGCTCTAAACACACACACACACGCACACACACACACACACACTTAAACTAAATATAAAATTTTCCCTTCAATTAATCGATTTGATGGATAGACTTTTTAAAAAAAAAAACAAAAGAAGGCAATCCACGCGAATAGTGCGAGCAAAACCCTCCACAAACGTTACTATCAATAATTTTTATATTTGTTGGAAATTATGTAAAAAACTGTTCTTGCAGGAAATATCAACGAATCGCGTATTCAGACTAAACGATTCCATCTCTTTTCTTCTAGACATTATTTAAAAAGTGCTTAAGTAACCGCCTCTAACATAATACATAATAAGTCTCGTTTGATTAACTATGATCACTTATATCAGCTTTCGGGCTCAAAAACAAACCCATATTCAACCAGTTTACTTTGCGGTTTATTGTCGCTACTCATGATTACAGTTTCGCTAAGTTAATGGCTTGGCAAAAAGCCATAAAACAAATCTTGTTTTCCTCTTAAAAAATAAATGCAAAAAATTGTCGTTAAATGAATAAAGCGGCGCAAATATGTGTTTTGAAACTTTTCGCCTATATCTTCGCGATTAGTTATTAATTAATATCGCAAGTAGCGATCTCATTGACTGCGACCTGTGAATACAACCAATAGTTTATCAGCTATCGATTTTTTTTATAAACATATTTAAAAAATAGGCAAGACAAAGAGTAAGAGTCTAATAAGAGATCGTTTTAAATTGTTTTCAATTACGTCATCACAGCTGAGAGAGAGAGAGAAAGAGAGAGAGAGAGAGAGAGAGAGATATGCTTAGCATAATGCATCTCGATTGATAGTTACAGATACATTTTTAAAAACGGATGTACGATCCGCCTAACTAACAATTACTCTCAAATATCGATCAAATACTTGGTAGGATCATCAAAAAAAAAAATAAATAAATAAAAAAATTAGTAAAAACATTTGCTTTTGAAGCCACTGAAGCGAAAGTTTAAGGCAGTTGAAGGTTTCAAAGATTGATTGATCAGATAGATTGGTTTGTTTTTTTTTTTTTAGATCGCTAGGCTTATATTAGAATTGTATGGAAAGTGCCGAAAACCTATTGATTCTAAAGTACATTTAGCTTTTTAATTCCGCTTTGTTTTTTTCCTGTTTTTTTCTTCATTCTATTAAAGAGGCAATAAACTTATATCTTAAATTGATCAAGTTTAAAAAGCAATCAAGTTAAATAATTTTGCGAATCATTAAAATGGCCAGACATGAAAACCCATTTAATGACTAATTAGTTCACAAAAAAAAAAAAAAATAATAATAAAAAGTCTAAATAAAAATATAAAAAATTAAACCATTTCACGATACTATTATATTAAGATTGTTTGAATTCAGGGCGTGTTTTATTCTTTTTTTTTGTTTTTTTTTTTCAATTTACAGAGGAAATCTCGCGCCAATTAATATTTAGTAATGCAAAATTTATCATAGGCACTTGTAGAGGTTTTCCGGTTTTATCGGATGCCTGTAAATTGGCTAAAAAAAACATTCCGATTGCGTGCATACGAATGACCGCAGATGAATTATTACCTGAAGGATGTATAGACTTTTTTGAGCTCTTCAAACCCGATGATCACTTAGATTATAGTCAACTAAAGCATTATGACAGTGATCCTAATGATCTCGTATTATTACCTTTTTCATCCGGTACAACGGGTTTACCTAAAGGTGTAATGCTATCGCATAACAATATAGTCACGAATGCAGAACAAATTCAAGTTATTATACCGACCGATTGCACCAGCAATCAGGAAGTAATACCAACAATGTTACCTTTCTTTCATATTTACGGCCTAACGGTAACAATGATATCCCGTTTAAGTTTCGGTTGTAAATTAGTAACAATGCCACAATTTAAACCCGAAGATTTAATGAAGTCTTTAAATGATCATAAAGGCAGCATTTTGAACCTAGTGCCGCCCATAGGTAAGTAATATTAAAAAAAAAAAAACTCATAAATAGAGAACGATTCAAAAAATATGAATTATTTATTTATTACTATTTGTGTTTAGCTTTATTTATGATTAATAGTTCTAAGATGTCTTACAAGACCGCTCCAAATTTACGTATGGTCTTAAGCGGGGCTGCACCCATAGCTATATCAGATATCGAACGATTTATAAAAAAGTAAGTTTTAAATATTTTCAAAAAGCTTTTACAAATATTCGAATGAGCTTTTATTCCGCTCTTGCAGATTCCCATATACGAAATTCTTACAGGGTTACGGTATGACAGAAACCTCGCCGGTTGTATTACTTACACCTATCGGCAATAAACGGTATGCGTCAACTGGTTTCCCGGTTAGCAATACCGAAGCGAAAATCGTATGCTTCGAAAGTGGCGACTTAAAAGGTTTGGGACCCAATCAAACCGGTGAATTGTGCATACGCGGTCCGCAGATCATGCAGGGCTACTTAAATAATTCCCAAGCGACTGAAGAAGCCTTCTATCCAGGCGATTGGCTACGTACTGGTGATGTAGCTCATTACGACGAAGACGGCTATTTCTACATAACCGATCGCATGAAAGAACTGATTAAGGTAAAAGGTTTTCAAGTACCGCCTGCCGAATTGGAAGCGATATTACGAAATCATCCAAAAATATTGGATGCCGCAGTTTTCGGTGTACCCCATGCCATAAATGGCGAAGTACCTAAAGCTTTGGTAGTTCTAAGGCCCGATATGAAAGCCAGCGAAGAAGAAATTTCTAAATATGTAGCCAACCGTGTAGCCCATTATAAGCAGTTGGTGGGTGGCATTATATTCACCAATGAAGTGCCTAAGAATCCTACCGGGAAAATATTACGTAGAATATTGAAGGAACAGTATTCCACTTAATAGATAATAGATGGCGAAGAATCTGATACGAAATCAAAAGTGAAATAATAAAATGCAAGCATTCAAAAAATATGATCAAGAAACACTTTTTTAGAAAATTTTTAAGAAAAATCAAAAAAAAAAAATCATTTAAATTTTTTAGTATTTAAAACGTTTTTTTTTTTTCTTACAATTTTAAAAATTTATTTTTAATTTAATTTATGGCTTTTTCTTTTCCTCTTTTTGTTGACTATATTTTCTGAAAATTAAATAAATTTAAACTTAAAAAATTTCTTGATTTCGCATTTCAATAATGTGCGAGCAGAGCACTACGCCATTGAACGCCATCTTTCGGCAAGAGGATGACTGCAAAGCAGAGACAGCGAAATAAATAAAGATGTTCCAACATTTTGTTTGAAATTGAGATTATAGGAGAATCTTAGGCACTTTTTGTGTATCTGTTATCAATAGCAAAGCCGTTAATAATTAGCAATCAGCTTGGCGACTTGCTCTTGCATTCTCTCTCACGACGGTGAATTATTTTCAATTGTAAACAAATGTAAACAAATTCAGACGGACTCTTTGAATTACTCTCAGATGCAGCCAATTTTGCGGGCGAAACTTTCAGCTACATAATTAGCAGCAGAATGGAAAGAAAAAAATGTTTGCATTTTTCAATTAAGTTAAAAAAGGAAAGAAAAGCCACATTATGCTTTATTTGTTTATTTATATGCCTTATTCCCTACTACTGTTGCTACTTTTTGTTGTCACATTGCCAAATTGTTTGCTTGTATTGAATTTCAACAGATGTTTTTTATTGATTAGCAGAGAATTTACCGACCGCTTTGCAATTACCATAGAATTGAATGTTGATTCTGCAAATTAGCATCGAATTTAACTTTGACTTTGCAATTAACATAGAATTTACCGATGGCTTTGCAATTAGCATAGAATTTAACTACTGCTTTGCCTTTTTAACAGAGAATTTAGCTACTGCTTTGTTTAATTTAATAACAAAAAAAATCATGGCGGTCGACTTTTAGGCTAACTTAACAGAAAAAAAAAGGTCCAATTCTGTTAAAATGCAAAGCCGTCGGCAAAACAAAGGAAAAGGAAAAGAAAAGTACCCAGAGGTAGGTAGTGAAAGTGAAAACTTTAGGATATTTTGTATCTAATGTTTCTTTATTTTTTATTAATAAATCTATGTTTTCGTATAAAATTTCTTAATTTCTTCAATTTTACAAGTTAGCCTAAAATTAGACCGCCATAATTTTTAAACAAAGCCCTCGCTAAATTCCTTGTAAAAAATAGTCTAAAAATGGCAGCTCTGTTAAATGATTAAAAGCCCAACTTAACAACTTAAAGGGTAAACGTAGAGGAGATGATAGAAGAGCAAAAGCGACCAAGGGAAACGAATCGCTAACAATCAGGAAACCATTAAAACGAATAACAATTTCTATTATACGCATTTTTATATATATTAATAAAGCTATTTTAAATATATAAAAAAGCTATTAAATAAATAAAGCTATTTATATTTAAATATAAATTATATAAATTAATATACAGCAACAGGAAAGTTTTAGTTATTCAGCGTAACCGAAAAGACTAAACTAATTTTCTGATCCTTATCCCGATTCAATAAAGTTTTTAAGAGGAGTTTGCAAAACAACAACACACACCGGTATTCCAATAAATCAGTAAACGTTAAATGTCAAAGATTATAATGTATGCCTGGATAGGACCCACCCCATCAAGCAATTCATCAAAATCACTTGTGGAATAGAAAAAGTAATTTAAGGCAATTGTTGTTCTAATGGTTGCATTATATTATTTGTGGACTAAGATAGAAGATGGTATCATGTATACATCCTAATATATATATAAGTACGTATTTAGAAAAGAAGATCAAATAAAAATTATATTGTAGTTTATTATATTTATTTATGTTTATCTAATCAATTTTTTTTCTTTCTATATTTATTCATTTTATTTGGATTATATGTTATCCATTTTTCCGTATTACGCATGAGTTAGTTCACACGACATCTATTCATATCTTCTTGTTATTATATTGTTATTATTTTTGTGAATTAAACAATTAAAAAAATGCATAAAATATTTGAACTGTTTTTTTTCTTTTATTATCTTTCCGATTAGTAGGCCAAGAATTTTTAATTTTTGTACCCTGGCAAAGCATTTATATTCTTTTATATTTACTTTCTTTAGCAAGTTAGGAGAAAATAAAACTCACGAAGAGGAAACTAAGATATAATCTTAGAATAAAAAATTATTTAATTTGATATGCCCTACCCTACCCTTGTTTCAATTCAAATTCTCTTAAGTTTGTGCAGATGTATATAACATGCAGATGGAAGTACGAAAAATCAATCCATCTCTTATTATACCGATGGATTGATCATCGTTTTTCGAATCGATTTAGGTTTGTCGGTCCATTTAGGGTACTGATGTGCTCCCAGCACAAGAGACAGGTTTATTGGATTCGACCATTTTTTTCAAGCACTGCCTACTTAAAACCTTTGCGACGAAAAATTGGTGAGTAACAGCACTTTTGTGTATTAAGTTTACAAGAAGAATCAGGATCGGATGAGATAGTTTTTTCGAACCCTCTCGTATGCAACCGTTCCTATGAAACGTAAGCCTCTATATGACAAATGTCTAATTGTTTTTTTTTTTTTTTTTTTTTTTAATTAAATTGCTTTCTCCTTTTCTATTAGTAGATGCGCCATCCGGAATTTGTATATTTGCTTGCATGAGTAGCCGAGTAGGTAAAAATTACGACTACTAAGACAGTGTTCGTAATGACTTTTCAAAACCTGGCATTATATCGAAAGTGGTCGAACAACTGGTTCGATACAAAACCATTTTCAATAGCTTTCGTCTTTGAGCTGATATACATCAGTATACCGTATAGGTAATTCTCTTAGTATGCCTGTAGGTAAACCATAATAAAACAAAACGCAGATATAAAATTATGTTAAAGTATGGGTCCTACTGCGTGCTGTATACATCCGCACAAACTTAATATATCCTTGTAGCATAAGCGATATAGCTGAAGATCTATTCAATTAAAAAAAAAAAAATTTTGAGTTCGATTATATGTATACCCCAAAATCGTATACACTTGTACACTCATACAATGTGACCTGACATTCTACACTTTTTTTAGACTTGTTAAGCTTTTTCATCTATTCTTCTCTAGCATGAACAGCGTAATTCATTATTTATTTCTGCTGATAGTAATTCGATATCAAGATCGGCTTTATCGTTTAAAAAAGTTGCTTTCCTCGTTCGTTAAATTAATGTAAAAAAATTTTTTTTATTCGCTCGAACAGCAGGATGATCTGTGGAACAAGCTCACTTTACAAACTGTTGCTTATTTGCACACACAATGAAGAAAAAACTAATAATTTGTTACGATTTCTTAACCCTAACTAAACTTTACTTGAAGTAATGACCTTGAGCATTTCTCCTAACTTTAAATTCATTCTATTATTTCGAACTAATTCCAATTTTATAATGAAATTCAAATAAATTGTTGTCCCTTTTTTTTTTTTTTTTCTTGTTGTAAGACCGTGAGATCGGGAAGCGGTCGCAGTCTATGAAATGCGTGCCGATTCGGTAAGTGTTACCGACTGAGTGCTTACTATAACTATAACGACCAGAGTAAAATTTACCGCATTGAGATTTGAAGCCGCGAGCATAGACTTGGTAATCGTGAGTTTTACCTACTTGGGTGCATACAATATTTACTGCATTGTTCTTCCCAAAGAAACACATTAAAAATTGGAAATATATCGAATTAAAGCGACGTACATGCATTTGAAAATTATATGTTGGAAATATTGAAAATATCTTTTTATATATTATTAAATAATAATTGCTTAGAATTACATTCGAGTCTTCCCGTTAAGCATATTAAAAAGGGTAGATATCCATATGAGCGAATGAAGAGTATAAAAGGGATGAGAACAGAGGCTATGAGCGTAATTTACACAAGCAACATTCACTTCAATGTCTAGCTCCTTGATCGTGCTCCCGAGCGAGGAAAAGATAACAAATGATAGGGTGGTTAGATAGTTACAAAAACATTTTATAATAAATTAATAACTAATCACTCAATAAGTCCCTAGTCTGAGCGCTATGTGACAACATTGTCGACAGGGCAATGGCATAATAGTCATCGACTATCTTGAAAAGGGATGAAAAATCAATAGTGGATATTATGTAACATTATAAAGGGCAAATTAGACCGTAGACTTATTGAATGATGCGAAAAATAATGTTTTCGGCTGTCATTAGTTCAAATTTAATTGCAATGAAATGTTTTATTGCGACAGCAATAATCTTTAGCCTGCTAAACATCACATATATATATATATATATATATACATATATTTTAATATAGAATATTCTTAAAATGAATAAAATAACAAAATATAACAATAATTATGCTACAATTATTTTTTCCCAAGTTTTCAAACACTTACCTGCTACGTTATATGGTAATCCCGTTATCATGTTAATCTTTAGGGTTTTCAAAGACTAAACATCAAGAAAATCCGCAATGCCCAAGTATTATTAAAATAATTTATTTATCTGGCGAGCCATTGGTCAGATGGATAAGAAGGGATTGAATTGTATCGCAATAATAAAATACGCGCGAATTGCTTTTATTTATTTGTTTATTGTATTGAAATTGCATAAAATTTAATTTTTTTATACAATTCAAGCAGAGAGCTAACGCTTTCTTAGCAACGAAGGCTCTCGGCAGTTAAATTGCCGTAAAGACCATAAAATGCCGTCTGATATTCTCACTTAATAAATAATTATGGGTAAGATTGGTATAACAAATCGAGGTCCATTTATTAAAGTCTGTACGAAAACCTCATGATTTTAATTACAAAACTAAGCCTAATCTTCTGAATTTCCTTATTGCTATCATCAGGACTGACAAGTTCAAAAATCAGATGAGTCTTTGAAGAAAACGAAAATTGTTATTTCTTTTCCTTTGCTTTATATAATCACTTCGCTTCATTTTCGCTGCTACCATTCACACTAAACGAATGAAGCAAAAAGAAAAGAAACAAATTTCCGTTTGTTCGAACCAAATTTTTGTCTAAATAATAAAAATGCCAGAAGCTCTATGTAAATCCAAAGGGTGAGTGAGCATATCTGTCGTAAACATATTTTTTTGTAAAGTCTCGAAAAAAAAACCAAACCATCCGTTTGAAAAATGTAAGCAAACGCTATCAGTGCAAAAACCCGAAAAAACAGTTATGAGCTCAATTAACTGAAGCGCCGTACACAATGAGTGCATACGCACGACGCATCATTCACTCAAATGCCAAAAGTAATGATTTGATTGTACGTTCGTTCGTATTAAGAAAATATTTCATATAATGTGTAATGGGCGGTATATAAACGTGAAGGACAGGTGCATACATGAGCGTATGCAATAATGACGTGTATGTGACGTCTATGTTAGTGCCATAGTTGAAATACTTGCAACGAATTATATGCCTTAGCAGAGAAATTTAAGTACAGAGAGACATCCATCAAAATTTTCAATACTCAAGGTCTTTTCGATCTATTCGCTATCAATGACAGTTACCGTAACAGGAACGCCATTAATTAGCGATCATTGGATTGCTTGCTCTTACTCTATTTCATTATTATATGCTAAGCCAATTATGATAGACTTTGTTTATGCGGAAAGACCTAGGATTCTTATTTAAAAGTGATTCCGAAACAATCTAAGCTTGTCTAGCCGTTAGATGCCTGTCCATGTGTTCTTATGTCTTCAGTTTACAATTTTTGAAATATTTTGATGAAATTTCATACATTGATGCTTCCTGGCTTGAGCATGGACCTTGTTAAAAATCCTTTAGATTGGACCACTTTTTCGGCGTAAGAAAAAAAAATTAAATAAAAAATTTCCCAACAAAAATCGCGGAGTAATATTGCTTTGGCGTTTCGGGCAAGTTTAAGATTTAATTTTTAATATTTCGTAACGAAAATTGATCCACGCCAATAATTTGAAATAGAAATCAATTTTGCAATATTTGAATTATGTAAGTAGGTAAGTATGTTACGTCCCATTCCATATAAAAATTTTCATGAATGAAAAGCCTTTAAAGTAAAGGTTTAATTTCTAATATTTTATGAACAAAATTGAGCCCTAGTAATAATACATTACACGACATTAACGTTAACCGTAGGAAATTTGGATCACAAAGCTTCCTATGAAAATTAAGCCCTTGTGCGATGTTTATAGTTTTTTTTAGAAGAGAAACAGGTGAAACGACACCAGAAGAAATACAACAAAATCTTTAACCAAAAAAATTTAATTCGATAAATTTGGATCGCATCAATCGACGTTTTAGACATCCTCGAGTAAGGGAACTTTCATGAGTAGTGTGCCTTTACGTGAAAATAATGAAAAGTAATAAGTTTTAGTGTATTATCACGAAAATGACTGAACAAGTGTTTACGGCAAAGTAGTGTAGGGTATTCAATGGCCGCCTTATCCGACTATAATGTTTTTATTTGACTCCACACAAAAAAATTCTGTTAAATTGATATTACGCTACACTGTATCAAACATACATGTGTTTGTAACGTATATACGCATATACAGTAGTCCAATGAAGTTTACATACAGCGCGGACTATTAAGACTTCTCTTTTTAAAAACTCTTTTTAATGGCTTGAAGGTCAAAAATTTGATTCCTTCAATGCGAATATGTAGGCAAGCAGTAGTAGATTTAGTTAATTTTAACCACAAATGAAATAAATATTAAACTACCTGTCAAACGAACCGCATGTACACACACACTTCTTTTGTGATGTTTTTTGAGCGGATACGAAGATAAGAAGCAGCATATTATTAAAACCTACTATTCGGTCCTAATATGCTTTCTGCTTAATAACGTCCTTTAATATAATGTTTTGACATATTTTGCATAATTTGTCTTGTGTGGGAAACAGGGATCTTACTCTATTCCCTTGTAGTTTGTTTTTCCGGCCTAAGAGCGACAGGATTGAGTATTTTCGCATTTTGCGGTCAAATTTATTCCAGATATTTTGGATGAGGTTCATACCCTGGGGGTTTGTGGAAGAGAGTGAAGCACTTTGAGGCAATTATATAAGAATCATGCTGAAATTAGGCAGAACTAATGCTTCAGTGTCCTGAAAAAATCCTCCACCAATTTTCAGACTCCATTGGCCCAATGCATAGCAAAGTATAACAAGACCATTGCAATCTCACCGTAAGCCGTTGGATAGAAGAACGTGATATGAACCTAAGACAGCAAGTTGCCAGGGAAAACGACCAATTCTTCGTGGAATGAGGCTTAGAAATGTCTTTTTCCTGCCTTAAATATAAATAATAATATATCCCTTTCTCATTTAATGCATTTGTGTACACACATAAAATAATTGTAATGAATAGATGCATAAATGAATATAAACTTCAGGCATTAAAAGTTCATCCTCAATCCAAAGTTATGCAATTTGATTTGTTCTCCATATTTTCGATAAGGGTAAGCTGTCGGAACAAGAATCTTGAATTTTTTTACGAAAAACCCAGACATCTATTTTCACTGCAGTGAACATCCTTCCAAGTCTTCAATTTAATGCTTTCTGATAATAGAACAAATAATTATTCGGGTGGGGCCGAATCTCGCACACCCACCACCATTAAAATCTCTGTCGCCTCATGTTTTTATTGATTATCATAAAAAAATGATTGGCGATATACTCCACCATTAATTTAAAATTAGCACACTTAGCTTTTCGCATTCTACTCTCCAAGCGGTTCTATTTGAAATCCTTATGGACGGTATCTTTAAAAAAAAGCTATATCTCCCATGTGGTAATGCCCGCCACAAGTAATTTCGAATTAACGCACTTGCCTTGTTGCCTTCTACTCTGCAAGTTCTTTTATTTGATACCCGGACTTGCGTTCCGACTTCGTGCTTCGCTACCGGCTTGTCCTCTAACTAATTTAATCCATTTTCAATGCCCACCTTGAGGTCGATATGTTCACTGTTGCGACCAGGAGAGTATCAGCAATACTCATCATTCAAACACAGAGACGAACGGACGGACAGACACAGCTTAATCATTTCAGAATTTCAAGCTGATCAAAAATATATCTATATTACTTTTGACAAAATCAGCCCACCCCATCCCATTCCACCCCTCCCACATAATTGGAACAGGATGCTTTTAACACTCGTTCATTAGACTTTTCATAGGGATAGATTAAAGTTTTTTTTTTTTTTTTTAATTTAAAAAAAAATATTTGGTGCGGAAATGCTTGGTCAATATGTTTAGAGAGTTTTTATAAAAGCAAATAATTTCTTTTAATGTTCGCTAACAAAAACAAAAAACGAAATGATAAATTTCAGTATCGTAATGATCGGCGCCATCAAAATAAACGAGATTAATGAAAAAAAATTCCCCGGCAAAGGAAGATAGTGAAAATCCACCATATAAGGAAATTAACTGTAAAAAAACGCGAACCAATGGTAGTGTATAGCGTTTATATGTAAGAAATATTTACATATATGTTTTTAATGGCGACAATTTTAATGCAAATGCAAAAACGAATGAAGGAAAATCCAACGCAATCGGAAAGAACGCTTAACGCTTATATATATAAAAAAATTTCCAAGGAATAACATGTTACGCTTGAAACGATGTTTCTTCGCTGTTTGAGATGTGCGTACTCAGTTATTACATAAGAAAGCGTCTAATTGAGTTGACATACCGAGTTGAGTTTATCCGCGATTTGTTCGACTAAAAGAAAAAAAAAAAGGAAAAATAAAGCGTTAAGTAAAAACTATTTAATAAATTCTATTCAATTTGTTAACATTTCATTTGTTTCCATTGCCTTCCTTGCATTCCTTTACAGAGTGGCGATCCTGTTGCGAGACAGCGTTATAACAAAATCGGAATCACAGATTACGGAAAACATAAGCATCGTTGAAACAATTATTTCAACTTTTTTTTATTATCGAGCCTTGGTTCGATTCATTCAATCGCACTACCGCTGGCATATTAATTATAACCAAAATTCGGAGATCGTAAACGAGAAGTTTAAGACAGGCATACTGTAAATCAACTTCACTCAAACAACAGCATCGTCATATGTGAATGCGAATAAATCGTTTAGTAGAAGCATTGGGAAAAAGAGAAGTTAATCGAGAAACAATAGTGGTATAGACGCTACCTTGGATTCCGAATCAGATGGAGGAGCAAAATAATAATTATCACCTTTTGTCGTCTCGCTGTTTGCTATCAACGCTTCACTTGGTCGACAATTCGCCAAATAATCATAAATCTCCGGCTTGCGGTATTGCGCCAAAGGACGAACCAGATATTAAATATGATGAAGAGAAAACCGGCATTCGAACTATATATCCGGAAGGGTTTAATGCGTCGTCCATGCATAAAGATTCCATCACGTCTAATTTGACTGGGAGGGCGCAAGGAGATAGCGGTGTCGCAGATCCATTGCAGTTTCCACTGCAGGCCACTGTTATGCCATCTTCTCAGACCGATCATATGCAATCGACTTGTGAAGATAATGAAAACTCTAACACTAGACAAGAATTCAAGCTAATATCCGCACCATTTCTTACACCAGACTCAATTCCAACTACTGTGGCCGATTGCTACAATCACCCTGGTACAGAAATTAACAATTGCGATGAAAACCTAATGCAACTACGGCAAGCCAATCATCATGACAGTGATAATAGCGATTTGCCATTGACGTCATCGAATGACGTAACTGCGGGTGATTCGATTGTGGGTACCGATGATCCTATGTTTACCGCGGTCAGTAATTGGTTAGGTACTTCGAATTCTGCTCAATGGGAGTTATCGTTGATCGAAACAAATTCCATCACTCAAAGCGTAAGTCCTACACACTTCTCACACTCCCCTACAAAAAGGTATTCAAACGCTAGCGCTTGCGCAACCTCACTTAAGCAAAATCCAGTTTCAGCTTCAATGCCTGCTGCTATGGCACGTCCTATCCTAACAATATCGCCCATTATTGCGCATTTTCTTGAAAGCAAAGTCCTCCACCAACGAGTAAGTATACAATGCGAATATGTTGTTGTTGTTTCGTTGTTACTTTTTTTTTTTGGCTAAATTCATTACCAAAACTGCCTCATCAATGCTTTGTTTCATTTGTAATAATAAGTATACATTTACTATTGATCACTGTAAGAGTTTCTGAGTCGATTTACCCATGTCCGTCTTGTTAACGAAATTCTATATGAACATAAACTGTACCGAATTTCTAACATCTATGTCAATTGATTGGACCTAACTCTGTAGAAGACTTATAGTGTACTTTTTATATAGAAATAATGCACAAATTTTAGTGCATTATCACGAAAATGAACGAATACTTGAGAGAAATAGTAGGTAAGGTATTTAATGACAGGCCCTACACACGACTACAATGTTTTTATATCTTTCAATATAGAAAGTTTTTTGCCCAAATTTAAGGCAACTCTAAGGCAACTAATGTTATTATAAGGTAAATAAGAATAAAGAATTTATGATCGGTTCATGATCAGAAATCAACAAACATAAACATTTTCTGTGATATTTGTATGCAAGTTCTTCGATAAATATTCGAACTTTGAGATTCCTATACCAACATTAATTAGATCCTTTTCTTAATTACCTATCAATGCAAATGCCATAGTTAGTTAGTTGAGAAATTATTCCGTTTAATGTTAGTTGAATGGAAGACATTTTTTCAAAATAGGAATTATTTTTAACAAAAGTATTTATATTTGAATCGATTGCACATACATTATCATATTCATAGTGTCTACTAAATTTTCCTTCTTTCTACTTAAGTTAGCGGAAGAAAAATAACCTTAAAATATCTCTCAGAGAGAAGAAATATTTATTTATGTGAAATTTTGAAGAATTTTTCTCTCACGTTAATTACTTTGTACAATTTTTATATTCTTGCTGGCATTTTTGAGCTTTCAAGGTTACGATTTGAAGCGTAGCCGTTCAATCATAGGTTCTCAGCCCAAATAACGCATACAAAATCTATCAGCGGAGTATTTCTACATATAATATGAATTTTGCTATTGTAGTCTAAATAACCTAGATCTTGTAAATAGAGCCGAAAAGAGCCGATAGGATAGGAGAGAGTCGACGAGCTGAATCGTGATTTTCAAATGAGTCAATCAATCGATCAATCAATCAACCAATGCTTGTGAGCGATAATAGCTATTTTATATCATTGCTTTTAGATGTTGAATCCTTCAACGCTTAAAAATATTTTTATTCTGGCTAAAGATAAGTATTCATAATTTTCTTAATATTAATGATAAATTTGGGCATTTCACCATAATGCTACTACTTATGTTTAATGTACATCATTTTGATTTGACTCCGCGTGTCATTTGCATTTTATTTAATTCTTTTCTATTTTTTACATTTTAAGTAATTCGTATAGATGGCGTGTGGATACACTACACATCTGGGCTGTGTCCATTTATGCATCCCTTTCTTTTCACGTCCTTCATGTCCGGTAGCAAAGAATTGATATATTTATACATAGGCATTCTGTTGATAGACATTAAAAATTTCAATCTCGAACAGTTTCTTGCCTTCAATTTGTGTATGACATTAGCCAAGTATTAGATGGTTTGGAATTCGTGTATCCAACAAAATTAAATAAGAGTTAAGTGTAATTAAAATTCCATATCCCCATCTAAAGGGATGCAACAGAATATTTATTTCGTCCTAATTTAAACTAAGCTCCAAAAATGAGCTATGAAAATGGAGAAAATGTACCTTACATGAGAAAAACACTCAAAAGGTGAATTCCACATTGACTTGCCATCTGATATCTTAAGAAGTCATTTTAACACATCTACAGATACTAAAAATTGAAAAAAAAGGTTCATTAATAAAAATAGCAGTCAGTATAGTTTCTCGTACTTTTCAATTTCACTTTCTTTATTTTCTAACTACTACTAAGCCCATAAAAGTCAAAATTCATATATATGGATATATATATATATATCAAATAGGTTTTCAAAAAAAAAAAAGAAAAAAAAAAAATTTCTTCTTATGCACTTCATTGGCATCTATCTACTACATTTCAGTTGAACCTGCCATCCGAAATGCAACTAGAATTTATTAATGATGGCCATGGCATTAAAAATCCTTTAATCATTGAAAATAGTCGTCGACGTTATCGTAAACGTACCAGCGGAACGAATAGTAACAACGGTAACAATGAAATTGAAAATAACAGCAATAATGGCGCGAAATTTGTTTGCGGGATTTGCTTAAAAGCACTATCTTCGAATAGTGCACTTAATCGTCACGCGTGGTGTCATTCTCCTATGAAGCGTTATTTATGCACATTTTGCATTAAAGGTTTCAATGACGCACACGATTTGAAACGCCATACTCGCACGCATACGAATGTTCGACCATACAAGTGTAATTTATGTAAAAAGAGCTTCACGCAGAGAGCCGTAATGGAAAAGCATTGCTTACACGTGCATGGAATGCAATCCAGTTATGTCCTCAATTATCGACAAACTAAGGTTGGTAGATATTTTTTTTTTATGTTTCTCAATTTTTTGCAAAACTTTAGATTTCATTTCATTTCCAGTTGCATGTCTGTGAACTATGCGGTCATACTACATACGAATCTGAAATTCATTATCAACATCTTAAAGAGAATCATCCATACTCAACGCTTTTGCGTAAACTTTCAAATTGACCAACTCATAATTTGTCAAAAAAAATTACAAGCATAAATGCCGTTGCCAGACATAAGCATGAAAGTATTTCGTTTTTCTCCGATACTCTTAAGCCTTTAAAAAATAAAAATCCATAGATTATTTTTGGAAAAGTTTTTATTTTATTTATTTATAAATTTTTTTTTTTTTTTTTCTAGAAAGGATTGAATGTGTGAATATGTTTTTTATTTTTTATACATTATATGTGTATATATTTTAAAAATACTTTTTTCTAAAATAGAATTTCGACGTATATGCGAATTTGGAGTTGGGAAAAAAATCATTTTCTTTAATGTGTTTCTAAGATTAAATAATTTTTTTATATGTTTTTTATACCCATCATCGAACGACTCGGGGTATATACTTTTGGTCAAAATGTTTGCAACGTCCAGAAGGTATCCGTAGAGACCCCGGTAAAGGATATAGCACGAAATACTGAATCGATTTAGGCATGTCTGTCTATCCGTTCGTCTGTTTTAAACATTCGCCCGGCCTCAAAAATTAAGCTATCGCTTTTGAATTTGACAAAAACTTTGAAAGTTCTTCCATGCAGACTCGTGGGCCAAATCGGTAATAAGACGCGTCCATAGGTCCCTTTTGTTTTTCAAACGGAATGAAAAATTGCATTTTTTTTTTCATTGCTCATAAACAATAGCACGTAAGTTTGCCAAAATTTGAACATATAGTCGATGCTGTAGCGCTTTACAAAAATGGAAACAATGGAGCACATCTATCCGATATTATAGTGTATCGAAATTTTCTTTTATTTTTTTTTTTTCCAATTAAGCAACAAAAACAAGCTTCAGCAACCTCACAAAATATATAAATTCTAGATTAACATCAAATTCTGAATTAATTTAAGCATGTTCGTCCGTATGTCTAATGCGTATTGTAAACATTCCCTATGCGGACAAAATTATAAAAATTAGTTTTTTTTTCAATTCCAAAAAACGAAACTTTTCGATATAAGAGTTCTGAAAAAAAGGAGTAAAATTTTATGAGGTAAAAAAGTTTAATTTTTAATACTTTATGACAAAAATAATTGAAGAATAACAAGATCTGTGATCAAGAATATTAAATTTCCGAAATTGACGCGAGGAAATGTCATCAGTCTTCAGCCAGGCAAAGCGCCTACTATCGTTGTTTTCAAATCACTTTTTCGCTAGTCTTCATATACCTTAAACGCATTTCTCCGCATTTCTGACGACTTGACCGAAAACACATTCACTAATTATTAAATTAATGATGGAAGGAAGACTTTCGATCACCTACAAGTCATTCATTGTTTATAGATATGATATATTGATTAAGGAAAATTCTTGCATGCAAAGAGAAATATGTCTTGCAGACTGACGTCAGTCACTAGAAAAGCTCGAATTTTTCAAAAAAAAAAAAAATCTTTACTTAATCTTTATTTTGATTTTAGTTCGTTGCTTCGCTTTATAAAACCTCTTTACCAAGTTTATCGCTTCCCGCTTCTTCCATCTTATTCAGTATGTTCTCAAGAAAAAAACAAAAAACGGGCTTCAAATCTTGACCTTTCAAGTATTCAAATTGTCTTCCACATTTGCCTCACAGATTTCCAATCAGCTGCATAATCAATAAGAAACTTAACAACTTCTGTTCAATACGCTATAGCTCCGCAAAACTTATATGAAGTACTTTATTTTCAAATGAATTAATAATTTCAATAATAATTCCAAGTTTTTCTTTTAACGAACCAAAGTAAAAAAAAGGAGAAAAACCGGGAACGATGCCGCTAAATTGGGCTTAGATTGTTTTCGTTGATACTAAAAATCGTCCAATGTTGATAACATTGAATCAAACAGACAACAGATTCCCCCCAACAGATTTTTGGGAATATTTTATACTTTTCAAATTTCCCCTTGAAAGGCATTAGTACAGTTAACGGCCACAAGGTGGCGCTCATGTACGAAGACAAAAGTTGAAATACACAAACTTTACTGATGTGAAGTTATCCCGCTGTACACAGCTCACATTTTTGTCTTTGCTAAATAATGGGTTATCTTCATAATTGGTTCGCGTCTCCACTACACGAATTGATAATTGAACGATATTGATAGAATAACAAAAGAATGAGAAAAGTTAAACAAAAATAGAAAAGATCAGCGTAAATAAAAAAAGGAAATCATTCTTGATATTATAAAAATAAATAAAAAAGAAAATCATTTTTACTATTTGCCATATAGTGTGTACGCATAAAATTGACGAAAAGTTACAATATACAAAGTGAGTTATAAAAAAAAAAAAATTTTAGCGAATTGATTCAAGTGCAGCTGTTCGATATGTTTTAAATGACGCTAAAGCGTACCATTTAGAAAGTGTTTATTAATCCAATTGGAATTAAAGTTATATCGTTGACTGTGGACATCTTAGTAAACCGAAAGAGTTAGACAATAGTTGAAATTACGTTGAAATCAAATTTAACAATTAAGAACATTTTAGTCGGATAAGACCGATCTTTAAATGCCCTAAACCACATTGTCTAACACAATTCTAATTTTTTATGGATCAATTTTCATTACGTCAGAATAAGACTTAGACTTTTCGTGAAAATACCTATTATAGGATCCAAAAAATTGGCCGAGATGGTCCAAATTTGGTATAATTAATTTTCTTGATGTTAAATTACTGTTACGATTTACAATTTTTCTCATTGTTGAACTTCAGTTTTCGTTATATGAGAAAGGGTTCAAAAATTGTACCAGCCAGTCGAATATTTCCATACCGAAATACCACTGTTTAGCCACTTTTGCCGAGAATTTTTGAAAATTGTAAAATTTTTCCAAAATAGAGCATTATCTTGGGGTGTGGTCGAAAAACTGGATTGATCCGAACGCATTTTTCAACAGCGTTCGTTCTTGGGGGTCAAAGCATGTCACTGTACCAAATTTCATCGAAATATTTCAAAAATTTGCGCCCTGTGGCTTGAACACAAACGTACAGACGGACAGACAGATTAAGTTTAATGCAGATTACGGCTCTGAATCGATCGGTATCAACAAAAGGTGGGTGTATCTTAAGCCCTTCTGCATATTCTACATACGAACATACCTGTGCCACAAGTGGTGTAGGGTATAATAAATTATATTTCAAATGAATTAAAACTTGGTTTTTTTCTTTTTTTTGTCTTCTTTTCTTTAATGTTCATATATTTATTTAATTTTTTTATTATTTATTTAGTCTTATAAGAATTCGCTATTAATTGGCCAAACTCTGTAAGTCAGTGGATTATTAATTTTCTTGATCGGTATGAATTTGTTTTCTTTATTAAATTTAATTATCTCTAATATCAGACTTAAATAAAGTGGATTGGCACGGAATCAAAATAAAAATCAACATTTTCGATATCAGGCTATCTATTGTTTACTTTCCATCTCGACAAGGAGGCGATTAAAACTAAGGCGACAGATCGCACATAAGTGAGTTCGCAAAAAATGGTTGTCGCGCCAGCGATTACATTCTTCTTCCCAAAGCGTTATGCGTGACGTGGTTGTGAATGGTCGAAGTGCATGAACAAGTGCATGATCGAGAAGTCATGCATTTCTCGCCTATGAATAACAAATGAATTTTATTCTTATTATTATGTAAATTTTTAATCGAATTTAGGGAAAATGCATTTCGGTATTTTAACTTATAAATAAATTAAATAAAAATACTTGAATTTATTGGTTTCGAAACGTTACGAATTACGTATATTGTATTTGTTGTTAATAAATATTAAATTTATTTTTCAAGGTTTTATGTCATATTAGTTTTATTTAAAGTATTGTACAACTAAAAATAATTTAACATAATACGTATATCTATACATGTACACACATACACACACGCACACACATACAATATATATATATATATATATATATATATCGTCCTTTCCTTTTCAAGTCGTCATTTCCAATAAATTTAATAATTACTTAAATTTAAACCTTTAGTTACTGTTGATTGGTTTTATTTTCTTTTTTTGTTTTACATATATTTTTTTTATAAACTTTTTCTGTTTTTTTCTTTTTTTCTTTTCTTTTAGTATTATACTCAGATACACATTTTTGCTAAATTCTAACATTTGCATTTTAAGGGTTAATTATTACTTAATGTTTTTGTTTTGTTTTTTTGTTGTTTAAATAAATATATATATATATATATATATATATATATATATATATATAATATACATAAAAAAATTATTTAAATTCTGTAAACTTGACTCAGTGTTTAAAAGTTAGAAAATAATATATAAAATGGTTTTATGAAAACAGTAATAAAATATGAAAATTTTTTCCATTTTAAATATGTCTTCCACTCATATCTTTAATAACTTTTGTTAAATATAATTTTTTTTTTTTTTTTAATATATATATATATATGTATATTTTAAGGAGTTTTCGATTTTATTTAATCATTTAGTTATTTATTTGTATTATTATTATTATTATTTTTTTTTTTGCTTAAAATTCTAAAGTACAAAGTAAAGTAAAGAAATTGATTGATTCGTATTACAGGATTTTACACAAAAAGAAAAAAAATATATATTTTTCTCTTTTTTTTTTTTTTTGTTTATTATCGGTAGTAGTAGAGGTTTGTTTTAGGAATTGTCCGTCTTGTAATAATAGTACAGATAAGATATATTTCAACCGTTAAAAATCGTAAAAATGATAGTCAGTGTAGTTGGTAATGTTCACTTAAAAAGAAACAGAAAAAAAAAAGTAATAATAACACAAGTTGTTAATAATTTCAAAAAAAAAAAATTAATTCGGAAATTTTATTAATTAATTGCAGTTACAATCACTATGTACTTTGGTATAAGCATTCGTTTTATTTCAGTCTGTAATGTTTTCTTGTTAAGTTGACCCACTGTGCCGTAAGTCAACCTATAAGAGTACCGAGAGTGGTTAACTACAAGATCTTGGGCGCTTTGCCTCTCCCTCTCCTCTTTCTCTCTTTCTTTCTCTCTCTCTCTCTTTCTCTCTCTCTCTCTTTCATCCAGAATAAGTCCTTAACAGAAATCTCCAAAGTTTTCTATTTAAGTTCACTACACTTAACTAATCATTTTACTCCATTTAAAAGTTTTTAAAATTTTTTTAAAAATATTTTCTTTATATATATGTTTTTCTGTACCTTTATAGTTAATGTTACATTTCTCTAACCTATGGATAAATTAATTAAATAGCATAGAAAAATGTTGAAAAATAGAATTTTTCATTAATAAAGAAAATAAATTTTTTTTATTTATTTTTTTTTCATAAAAATAAATTTTTCTTCTATAAATTATAAAACACTTTTTCTTATACAAATTAATGAAGGATTTCTTTTTCTTTTTCGTTTTTTTTTTTTTTTTACTTTTTACTTAGAAAAAAAGACTTACAAAGACTAAGAGTATGCACCTTACACTCTTATGTAATAGAGCTGAGTTATGGTCGGACATGAATACACTCTTGCTTTACTTAACTGTGTAGTTTATTAAAGCAATACTTATGTATTTATAATCATCTAAAGACGTGGTAGTAGTCCTTCAATATTCAACAAACATATATTTTTTTTCTTTTTCTATAAGATTTGATCAATAGTCTTCACATTATCATAAATGATTGATTTTAAAATTTTTTGAAAAATTTGCCATTTTTTCAATCATTGGGGATGAATCGAGCTTATTTTCAAACTGATCTTCTGTATCCTAGATAAGAGTATACATATGTATATGTAGATAGATGTATGTATATAAGGCAAGTTTTATTTATTTATTTTTTGCTAAATTTTTCCCTTTCTAAAGACTTAAGGTGCGAATATAAAAAAATTGACTGATAATTATTAGCTTTAAAAACCATATTTCGTTGTGGGTACTTTTAAGAATCAATCATGAACTCGCTCAAAATTGGCCAAAGGCCATCAATTCAAAATGCAGCTTTCTATCTTAATTATTTCGACTACAATTGCTCTAACAATAATAATAAAAAGGATACTTAAGTCAACGGACAGAGGGATACGTGCCTCTAGGTTCACTTCGTATGATCTGAATATATAACGTATCACCGAATCATAATCAGAAATATAAAGCTAATGTAGAGCAATCCTTTTTTTGCTGTGTATACAAAAATTATTCGTAGTCTAAAGAAAAAACAAAAAAAAAAAAATTAAAATTTACTTAAAGCAAATACTTTTCCTTATACATTGTACTCGATGCGAAAGTTTTTATATTTTTTACCAACGTATAAATATTGTTAAAAATAAATGATGGCAAAACAACAATAAGAAAAAACAACTTACTTTCCTAATAAAAAGTAAAAAAGAAAAAAAAAAAAACTTAATTGACCAATAATTATCGTCCACATAGATGAAACGTTTTATTACCTACCACTGGCTTTATTGTTTTTCTTTTTTTTTTTTTTTTTTGTTTATATAAATATCATAATTAAAGCACTTGGTTATGTTCCATCAAAAACACTATGGAAATCTGTAATCATTATTAACAGCTTTCTATCCCACATATAGGTGATGCATACACATAAGGTTGTAAGTGCTGTTGGGTAGCTTGACATAGCGTAGTGTTTAAGTGTATGTTTATATTCCAACCGAACATTTGAATCGATGTAAGTCATTTACGAAATTAACGGGAAAATTTGAAGGTTTCTTTTTTAACTCTAGATTAAACGTCTTTATCTTAACTATAATCTCTTCAGACGGACATACGGACATCTCCTTTATTAATAAA